CCATTGACAATAACTGAAGCGTGAAATCAAAGCAAAAACCGAAGTAACAGGCGTGTCAGTGCTTCCTGTGGAATTTCTTCGGGATGTGGCAGTTTGGTGTTCTGTCTGAGGCCCCGACATGACTCTGATCTCATTCTGTTCCTCTGGGTTTGTGTCATCATCATATATGGACAATTATGTTATGCAGCTGTAACTTTTCCAACCAAAGCAGAAGTATGCTATGTTTTCAGCCCCGTCTGTCTGCGTTGTTGGAGGGCTTTTATGGTCTTGGACGCGCAGCTGGTGATGGATGTCAAAAATAGCCAAAAAGCTGCCGTCCCAGATGCCAGAAGCAGCACGTGGAAGGACATGGATGCCGCTTCAAAGCACATAACTTAGCAAGCAAAAAAATAATATTGGAACAGTGTAAGAAAACTACATCTAACATCACAATTCAGTAAAAATGAAATATTTTGTTATAAAAAATTACAATAAATTCGATGCACCAGCGTGTAGGATTTTGTGGCATCTAGATGTTAAGTAGATTACAACCATTTGAATACAGCTCATCATTCCAAGTGTAAGAAACTACAGTGGCCACAAAACTCACAAAAAACGTGAAAGGTCCTGTCTGTGTTTGGTTTGTCCGTTCTGGGCTACCGTAGAAACATGACAGGTCAACGTGGCGGAGATGAAAAACATAATGATTTTTATTTTCAGGTGATTATACACTAATAAAAACATACCAATGAATATTATAGTCCATATCTGCCAATAGATCCTCTTAAATTTTTCACACCGCACCAAGCTCAGTGATTCATCAATACAGCCGCCATATTTAGACAGTAGCTCAAAAGTCGAAAAATAATATCATCATAAGCCTGCATCTTTATGTGCACCAGTAAACCCCAAAGATTGTATCTCACTCTGCAGAACACTGTTTCACTGGAAATGAACATCTCAGAAGAAGTGACGTCGCCTGATTGTGTGTCATATATAAAACCCTTTGAAGCAGCCTGACTGAAGTCATGTGTTGAAGCCAGTGGAAATTAAAGTACCTGCAATCTTTTTAACCTACTAACCTTTGGTGTCTTTACAATACTGCACATCTTTGTTATATTTAAAACGTCCCCTCAGTTCACTGTTAATATCCTAAAACTTCAAACAATAGAACATCTCCAATGACCTGAAAGGATATTTTGAAGTGCATCTTTAACCTCTTCATTCATCTTTATCTTTACCATAAATGTCCATCTTAAACTCTCTGGCAAAGGAAAGCAGCCAAGCTTTTTCACACTTAAAACTTTATTATGAATTCCAGGTTTCTAGATAATATATTTATCAAACATCTGATGATGATTCACAGATTAGACAATAACAGAACAGACAATAATATATTTTTTTAATCAGTCATAGTATGAAGCTACAGCGCAGGTTTTCCTTAATTTCCTTTTTTAATCATTAGTCACAGTTTGGGTTTTGGGAGGCAGACACCCCCTCTTCACGTTCCTTTAAATTTTATTGTACCTGTGACAATGACAAATAAAGATGATTCTGATTCTGATTCTCTTTGATAAAGCTTATCGTTGGGGCTTCCCATGATGCACTGCGCCTCTCTCTCGTCTACTCACTCATGTCCCATTAATGCACGTTACTAACTTCACTTCTTCCTCTGAGGTTTTGTGCTTTCTCGTCTCGCTTGTTATTATTGTTATCATTATTATTATCATTATTATTATTTCACTTTCATTACTCATCATTATCATTATTAGTCATATTATTATTATAAACATAATTATTCATCATTCACCATTGGTACTGCTGTTATCATCATAATTTTTAGTCGTTTTCCTCTGTTATGGTTGTTACTGTTGCTATTGTTACTGCAGTGCATCTTTGTCTTTCTCTCTCTAACGCCAAACGGTCGAGGCAGACGGCCGCCCATGTAGACGGCTTCTGCCTCTTAAAAGGAAGTTCTTCTTTGCCGCTGTCACCAAGTGCTTGCTCATGGTGGGAACTGTTGGGTCTCTGTAGATCATTTTATAAGGAGTACATTCTAGACCTTCTCTATTCGAAAGTGTCCTGAGATAACTTCTGTTATGATTTGGGCTAACAACACAAAGTTATATTGAACTTGAAGAGAACAATAGTTAGTGATTTCAGAGCTTCATAATTTTAAAAATGACTTCCCAACTCACTTTTGAAGCCCATATATAATCACCTATGGCAAGACTCCTTCTACCACCTCCGCTAACATTTCCCAAACTCCGCCCCCATCTCTCCCTCTCAGATGCCGAAAAGTGCGTTCATGCCTTGTGTCTCCTCCAGACTGACTACTGTAACGCACTTCTCATCTAGCTTCCTGGCCAGAGTCGTTCAGAGGCTTCGTTACATCCAAAACTCTGCAGCTAGGATCCTGATGACGAGTGCGGAAACATGACACATTACCCCCATTCTCCCTCCCTCCCACTGGCTCCACCAGGATTGAGTCAAGTTTCTCTCCTCACCCATCAAGCCGTCCATGACCCCTACCTCAAAGAACTATCAACCCACAAAACACAAACGCCTCCCTCCTCTCCACTCACTCAAACCTCCTCCACATTACCCGAACCAGCTCCAAGGACCGATGGGAGATAGGCCTTTGTGCTGCCGCCCCCGTCTGTGGAATGCCCTCCCTGACACCTTGAGGCACCACAATCCACTTGCTGTTTTAAAAAAAGCGATCTTAAGACATTCTTTTTAGCAAAGCTTTTGCGTCCTCTTTAGATGTTTTTATTTTTTTTATCTTTTCTCCTTTCCTTTTTTTTAAAAAACTGCTTTTTGTTTCTACTGTACATTGAGATCTTCTGATGAAAAATAAATTATTATTTATTATTATATATTTCTGATCACACTTTTTGATTTCATATAGATTAAAAAAAAATAAATTGGTTAAACTGTTGCTGAGTGAATTGTCATTGTGCCGAACTAGACACATTTCATAATATTTCCTATGACTAACAGTTAATGTATAATCTACAGAATCTCAAAAACTATAAGAATTATTCAAATGCTCGTGCCATTTATCCGAAACAGCTTCAATTCAAATATATGTACATTCACCAGTTAAATCTGATACTTTAACGTACGAAGACATAATAAAAACAAATCTCTGTTGATTTTTTAAGAAAATCAAAACTTAATATACCCGTTAGGTCGATTAATTGAGATTGAACTCAATATAAGCATGGCCACGCCTTTACAGGCCGCTTGATTAATAAGTGCATAAAAGAATATAGACATTTCTAGACATGAAATCTAGTTATTACTTAGCTTTGAAGCTTTCATCATAGTATCGTATATTTAGACCACTTAATGAAATTTACTCCTCTGTCCTTCAGCTCTACTTGGCTGCCGTTGATGCTTTTAAAACTGGGGTTGGCTGGCGATATTTGCCAGTTCCTCTATAGTTGGAATCGCAGGAGCGGGGCTTCGTTTTTGGCTGTTTGGCGCTTGTTGGGAAAAAAAAACAACTACATTAGAGTATTGGACGGAAACACACAGATAAATTATTAACCAGACATTTTCTCTGCCTGCCCTGAGTTTTACCGTTCATATGCACCCCCTGCATATCTTTTGGACTCCTCTCTCGGCCGAATCCCCTTTAGATACGTTTGCCTTCTCTTTCCCACCTCCCTGGTTTTGATTCGCCTGTTTGACCTTGACTAAACTGCGGCCTCCGCAGAGTTGTTCCTTAGTGTTAAACCCCAGATTTTACTGAGCCTTTACATCTTGCAATCGTTTTTGCTCCATACTTAGTGCACTTCCTGTCAATAAGAAACATGTTCAGACATGATTCCAACATGGTCCCAATCCAGAAGCTATTTATTTTATTTTTTTTTTTTAATCAGTTGTGACAAATTGACAAACTGAATCAAAACTAAAGACAATCTTGTTATCTTTGATATTTATTGTATAGTTTTGTAAGTACAGCAATAATCATTTCCATTGTCGTTTCTCTTTCTAAGTCTGGTTTTTTTTTATTTCAGTTCACTAAAGATGTTTTCACACCTAGTTTAGTTTGATTTAGATTTACATGATCACGCCTGTTCTAAAAATCGCAGAAAATTTAAATTGCATATATCTGTTTCCCACTTGTGTTGCTGTCTCGCACAGTTTGTTAAGTTTAGTTTAGTCCTTCCCTGTTCTTATTTTGTACTCCCAACATTTCCCTTCACCGTCAAACCCTGACTTCTCCTCCCTGTTGTTAATTGTCTGGCTTCCACCCCGGATTGCTTTCACTGTATCACTTAAACAATGGTATACCCAATAGTCCTTCTCTCCCTTCTTGTCTTTGTCAGTTATCGTCTTGTTCAGTAAGCTCAGTGAGTATGGTCAAAGTGGTTTGCTAGTTCAAAGTCCAAGGTCATGTTCTCTGGATGTGTCAATTGAAGTGGTTTTTCTTTTGTTTCGCTTTCTACTATCCTCCTAGAAGAGCACCCTTTTGGTTAAATACAACATCCACTTTTTTGCTCGCAAGCTTCTTTGTAGGCCAGAGTCTCGGCATTTGGTCCAGCCGTAACTATTGCTGTCAGGAGGTCGGTGACACCTTATCAGTCATTGTTTGTTGCTAATTATTGTTAGAAATCTCTAACATGATCAGTGTCTTCACATAGATGAGTATCATTAATCATTAATAATAATATATAACTAAAGGCAAACTAAGCAAACTGGTATCCCTTAGTATGACTCAGTACCCATGAAGTAACTTAGTTTCAAAAAGGTTGGTTGTAGTAAACTATAATAACTTTTGGTCCCAACATGTCTGAACATGAAAAACATCACCCTTTTCTTCATGCTTCCTTTCCTACTTTTCACATGTAATCCCTTATGTGCAAAAAGTTTGTTTATACAGCACTTATCTGAACAGTTAGTTAGTCAGATACCACGTGTGAAACCTAGTGTTGTCTCATTTTAACGATGGTAGAAAATATCATTTGATTGATCATTTCAGGAAATATTTATGTGAGGTGAGCAGATACCTGGAGTTGGTCGTAGTCAGAGCTAACATTGCACATCCTCAGATCAGTGTAGGTGTGTTCCCCCTTCAACTCAATCTGCTGAGAATATGAAAAGAAAGAGAAAGAAATGTTATTAATCCAATCCATATATTCGATGTTACAAATAACTGTTGACTATAAGTTTAGGAAAGTTAAAGAAAACATGCTAAAAACAAATCTGACTGCACTAGATTCCCATTTTATATTGAGATTATATTCGGCATATTCTCCACTCAAGTATTTCAGGATCTGAGAGCAATATTAGGGCAGAATTTCTCTGCGTAATGTTGAAAGAGTGGAAAGAGGAAGTTAGGGCAAGCAAACCGATTATGTTGTGAAGAGTGATTTACAGCTGTAGTGGTGGTTTACTACAGTCTTAGTGTGCAGAAGGGGAAGAGGAAGACAAGCTGTCATTCATAAGCGTCCAATATTTTATGCACAAACAGGAGAAACACTTAATATCGTGTGTCTAACACATAATGGTACAGAATCAATGCAAGTATCTGATCAGTGACGAGTCCTTTAAATTCTGTCACGTAGCTTTAATTTAGCTCCATCTCGACCAACTGCAACATGTTATATTGTTCTATTATTGAAGACGCAGAGTCAAACTTACTAAAAATTAACGTCTATACTAAAGTATTTCGTTTTTGTACCTTTATCATGTGTGTCAAGCAAAGAGTAGTCACCTAAAACATCTTCAGTTACTGTGCATGATGAATTTTAATCTCTGATATATAAAGAAAACTTGGGCATAAAATGTAAGCATTGTCGCATGAACTGATAGTTTGGCACAAATAAATATTCATCCACTCACCAACTCAACTCTCATTTGCTAATCATGCTTCCTGCATGTGATCCTTTCTTAATAGGAAACCTGTTTATCTCATTTACCATGCACAGAGCAGCATATTTATATTATAAAATGAAAGATGACGTATCACATGTTTAGTCATCCTTCAGTCAAACGGAAAGGACGAGGAAGTCCGCAAGACGAGACTATGACTAGACTGTGACGTGCCAAGGATGTCAAAACTCCTTTTCATATCTGCTGTATTAGTCCTGCACGGGGGGATCATTTCTCACACTGTCTCTTGTTTGGCTGCCTGTCAATTTGGCTGCGTAAGTGAAAAAAATTCTTCTTACCTTCAGCCTCTTGGAAAGACTTGGCAGGAGAAGAAAAACAAACAGAGAAGGAATGTTACCCAGAACTGAGATATAGATAAGTAAACACACAGAATGTCTAATAATTGCTTGGTGATGTCTCCAAAACTTGTGTGGACGAGGGACAAAGAGAATTCTTACTTTTGATACTTGTACATAGTCACAGCAACAGTGACGACATAGAGGACGAGCAGGGCCACACATATAATGTAGGGAATCTGAAGTGAATCACTGATGCCTGAAAGAGTTGAAAGAACAGCAGACAGTCTTTTATCAGTTTTCACACAGATATCTTCAATCTGTGATGCATTAGTTATTTTGCAATCAAGTACTTTTTATTGCCGCATTCACTTTCTCTCAACTTCAGTTGTTTGCTTAAGTTTTCCATTTCCATCATTTCAAACTTTCTTTTTTCAGAGAATGTGAGTAATAAAGGCAAAAGTGCAAGTTTCCTCTTTCATCAGGTTTATTCACCCAAAACACAATTGAAATTGAATTGAACTGGTATTTCTTTTTTTCCCTGTATTTAAGTTAATATATTCTTCTTTACATGTCACTTGTATTTATTTATTTATTAATTTACCATGGACAATGCTCATTAATCAGCACTGTAGTTTACATTACACTTCAATTTAAATGTGCTGGAGTTAGCAAATGAGCTAATTTTCATCCGTAGTCCACTGGAAGTTGTTTACCGGTTCCTGTATTCATACACTGAGAGTACTTATAATTAAATGTGCTATATAAATAAAATTTTTGAGATGAGACGCTTGAGACTGAGAGACCAAAACACAACAGTCTATATGTCAAAGCTTTAAAAGAAATCTGCCACCACAGCCAGTCATTTCACTTTACAGCTTCATTTCACCTTCCTTTACTTTCTAGCTTTACATCAACTCACAAGTACATGAGTAAGGGATCCACCATGATGAAGCAATATAGCAGAGAGTAAATAATTCCTCTCTGTTACGACTCTTAGTGATACCTGTAGCGGCGTTGACCTCCAGAGGCATTGGTCTGGACCTCTCAGAGCCCCTCTCGGTTTGAGCTTCACACAGATACACTCCGCTGTCCTCCTGATTGACCTTTAGGATCAGGGTATCTCCTTCACCTTTCTTAGTCAGCTGTGATGAGGAGAGGTGATAAATGCTCCGGTTAAAGTAAACTGAGGCCTCTGTGGTGTTTGGTACATACATCTGTGTTAAAGAGGACAGATGGTTTTCATACTTCCTACAGAATGCTACAATTTGATCTCGTATTGTAATAAATCAAACTTGGGGTACTTAAAAAACACCACATGGCCAAAACTATGTGGGCATACTGCTCTACAACAACCTCCACTCCTCTGGTTTCACTCTTTCCACCAGATTTTATAACCTGCCTGCAGGTGGCATTAAAGTTCATCCCAGAGGTGTTGACATATGGCACACTCCTGCAGGGTTGTGCGAAGGTGTTGGTGTGTTTCTTTGAGCTATAGAGCGTAAAGCTGTGAAAAAATCCTCACTCAGTCTCTATGTTGCTCGACCAAGGTGCTCTCTCCGGCTTGCTTGAACTTTGAATAGTGATTTTACAAACAGGAACGGACAAATCCTGCACATACCCAACTCAAAACATGACAAATAGCTCCAGAATTAAAATAAATATAGAAAAGTATCTGAAGATCGTTGTCCGCATACTTTTGGCCACATACAATAGATAAAATAAATATTTTTGTTTCTGAAAGATGAAAATAAGTAAGTAAAAACTGAATAAAGTACAGTGAAATCTCTTTTACCTTTCCCGAGTCGGTTCTGTACCAGGTGTACATGCTCACAGGGGGGTTGGCGTCACTCGAACATGAAAATGTCACAATGCGTCCCTCAGAAACGGGACCAGATGGGCTGAGTGTCGCCATGGTGAATCTCGGAGCATCTGTGGGACAATAGTTTGACAATATAAATGTTGTACTGCAACTACTGATACAGGTCAAATGAAGATTGCTCCTCATAATCCAGTGATGGAAAGTCCATTTACTCACTGTAATCCTGAGGTATTTATTCTTTATTTGACTATTTTAATTATGTACTGTTAAGGTAAAACTATTGAAATTCACAAGCTGCCCAGCTATATACATAAAGTATTATCAAATGAGTTCCACCTTTACCAGCGGTGACAATAACATGATGAACACATTAATGCATCAATAATTATAATCCAAATAGATAATTGCATTATTCTCAAATGTGACATTGTGCATAAAGAAGTAGTTTTTAACTGTTTCTGAAACAGTCTTAACATAAACAGGTCAGCTTCCCCTTGAAATCAATGAAACAAGGCGGTAGCAACACTTCCGATTTGTCCACAGGGGTCGCCAGAATCAACACAAACTGAAAGTTCCTTGTAGCTGCTTTAAGTAACATTTTTTTGACTTATAACAGAGTATTTCTACCTGGTGGTTTTCCTCAACTAAAAGATCTGAGTACTTGTTCCTCTGCTATCACAAACGCAGCACCTGCTTGAAATACAGTAACAAAGGCACCTTATGCCCCAGTGGTTCATTATACTTCCGTCAACACCAAGTTAAGACAAGTTCAGCTCTTCAAAGAGGTTAAAGAAATGTTTCTGTCTGTGTAAAAAAAAAAAATCCCCTTCAGTCGGTGAGACACAGTCATGTTGAAACAAGTCGACTGTAACCCCGAACTATGTTCTGCTGTGTTTAACACATTCATCCGCTTAATGGGCGATAAATCAGCATTAGCGCATTCTTTAAAATGAAGGAGGAAGAACTTGAGTCAGCCAGTAAATGAATGAATGAATCAATCATCAGTTCAGAGTAAAAACAACCAGATTCCATTCACATTTGTTCTAAGGTATAAAAGGTCATTATTTTGTGATAATAATTGCATAACTCATGTGGTTCCCAAACTTTTCTGACGCCCCGTTAAATCGAAGCAATGTCTATTTGTGACCCGTTAAAGCAACTTTAAGACATATTTTTTGAACTGAAGAGATACATCTTTCCATTACTTCCATAAACTATACCAATAGTCAAAATCTGCATGATTCTGTGTATTTTTGGGTCTATTTTTGATTCTTTGCTAATTCATGAATCATTTCGTGACCCCTAACTAGTGGTGGAGGAAGTATTCAGATCTTTTACTGAAGTATTACAAGTAAAAGTACTGCATTCAAACTTAAGCAAAGTATAAGTGGAATATTATCAGCAAATATACTTAAAGTTTGAAAAGTAAAAGCACTCGTCCTACATAAAAATGGCCCATGTGACTTATATTAATTATTCTAACAGACATTATTAGATTGTTAATACTGATGCATCAATATGTAAGTAGCATTTTACTCTTGTAGTCTCAGCAGGTGAAGCTAGTTTGATAACTTGACCTTTTTAGGACCTCAAACAGTTGAACAGTTGAGTTGAATGAATCCATCTGAGAGATTTAGAGGGGAAGTCACTTTGGTGGGAAGCCAATGTGTTGTATTTTATAAGATCATCATGTGTTTTATGTAGAACTTGAATCTGAAAAGTAACCATTTTCTATACCAGTTTCAAACTCTCTCCTCCTCTTTTACCTCTTTTGGGACATGTTAAATAAGCTGTTTAAACAGATTTAGATGCCAGGCCTTTTATTTCCACCAGCAGAGGTCACTGTGTTACTCTTCCCACCTCTGGATGGCTCATATTAATGCAGAGAGAGAGCGGAGTGTCTCACACAGGACGGCGAGTCTCTGAGATGTTGCAGACGGCTTGCTGCTGCCCCCTTTTGTCAGCGGGTAGGAGACAGAGCAGGTGATGTTCTGGTTGTGATGCTCGACTGAGGCGGTGAAGGTCAGCGTGGACGTCAGGATCATCTGTCCATCCATGTTCTGCTTTTGCAAAAGAGAGAAGAAAACACCGACATAAATTACTGAAATGTTCATGAAATAAAACAAAGCAAATAAATCCTTTTTGAAGATTAAACAGTGACACAAGGCAGCTAAGAAAATAATGAAAATAAACTCGAATCTATAAAAATGATACTAATTTAGGTAAAATAAATTAATTAGTGAATCAGGGAAGCAAGAAGCATTCTTTGTTCTTTGTTTTAAATCTTGCATCTCATAAGATTTCATAAAACAAAAGATGTAAAAAATAAAATCCCTCATTATGCAGATTATGTAGTTTAATCTATAACAGTGCATCATATTTACATGATTTTCTATGTGAAATCTTAATTTTTAAGGTAACTTAAAAATAAAAATGGAAAATAGAAATATAATAAGAGCCTAAGTGATGAATCCAGGTCAATCCTGACAATGAGGCTCTAATTATATTTCTATTTTCCATTTTTATTTTTACTTTTCAGTATATGTATATACTTATACATTCATTTCTATTCTAGTGTTAGATATTGTATATAATTACTATTCTTTAATGTTGTGTGAGTGGAACTGTAGCGTACAAATTCTGATTCTGGCTATAGCTGTAACACAAACATAGTAAAGTGAAGGAGTGCCATATTCCCTTACAGTGGGGAATAAAGGAGCATAGAATGACAATACGAAATATAATAAGTCAATTCCAAATACTTCAAACTTGTACTCAAACAATGAGGCTGGCATTATTCTATACTTTCCTCATGTTGGGATTTAAAAAATCAGACTATTACTGAACCCTCTCCTTCCCCAGTTCTATTGTTGTCCATTAAAAACACACAACAAATCACTTTGCATGCTGCTTCATTACATTAATGAATTTAAAACTGAAACAGTTTACTACATTTGTGACCTCGAGGCCACAGATAGGATAGGGAAGTCGTAACACATAACAGACAGACACATGAATGAATGAATGAATGAATGAATGAATGAATGTGCGATACTTCACCTGCTGAATTTCTTTCTCCTCCTGCCTGGAGTTGTCTCGGGGGAGCCAGATGAGGGAGGGGGGCAGGGTGGAGCAGGGCATTGGGACTGAACACTGCACCCTCACCTGGGCTCCCTCTGACACCTGACTCTCCGAGGTCAGCAGGGGGGGAGACGGGTCTGTCGAGGAGGAAACAGAAATGAAGAAGAGATACTCACTCACTCAACAAAATGTCATTGCAATCCATCCCACAGTTCAGTGGTCGTTCATACCTTGGCGAATGTTGATGTTGACTCCATTAGGGAAAGTGTACCTAAAGATTTCCGAACATTCCAGCCTAAAGAAGTAAACATCGCTGTAGTTCTCCGGGAAGTTGTGGAAGCTCGTGGTGCAGTTCTTTTTCGTTAAGTCCCCGAATATTTTCCCCTAAAAGAGCAATGAGTACAAAACTTCATTTTAAATTGCTGTGAGGAGCAGAAGTTTCAGAAGATACCAAATATTTATAGGCTCAATTTTAAGGTTTTATTTTAAGCTCTTGTGTGGATTTTTAGAAGATTATGGCTTCTAATATTACTATGTTGTTAGAAAAGGAAGCTTTACATATGATCAAGTTGTTTAATCATTGACGTAAATAACGCTCATGAGTTTTGCATCACCAAACAAAGAGACAACCTACTTGTATGTTCTTAGTGGAAGGAATAGGGGTGTCAGTGAAGACGATAGGACCACTAAGAGTTTGTCTCCTCCAAACACCTTTATCTGAGCAGTTGAGGACACCTTTTTCCATCTCGTCTGGGACCTCAAAACCACATGGGACTGTGACACAAGACCCACTGATGCCCACAATGCTTTTGGGCACCATCGCATTCCAGGTTTTACAAAAGACACCTGGGGGGGCCCAAATACAAGCCTTTCTAACCAAACAATGGCACATAGCACAACCTGTCACATTCACTCAACCTCTTTTTAATAATGAACTAAAACCAGACTGAAAAAGGAAGCTTTCATTTAATTGAAAAAAACACAAATCATACTTCCACCTTTATTTGTGAAATCAGGGAACTACCGACCTTGCATCAGAGCGATGAACAAAGCAAAAACCGTCAGAACAACACCCATCTCGGTTGGATAAGACAAAAGAGACAAAGCGAGAGAAAACTAAAGAATTACATTATTTAAATGCACAAAAGAAAATTAGTTTTGCTTTGATGCCAGTAATCACAATTTGTTTACTCAGACAATCAGAGTCAAAGACAAATAAATCACGAGAAGCAAGTAAAATTTAACATACAGCATGATATTTTGCTGTTATCTAATATAATTTATAACAAAAACACTAAAGCCAATTTTAAGAAGTGAAAAAAGTCATAGTAAGATTACTATGTGAGAATAATGTGCAACTTATTTGCAACATCTTGATTTAGTCAAAATACATTAACATTTATCATGAGGGAAACCTAAAGTTAAAGACAAGAAAAACCAATACACTTTTTACTGATACAGAAACCGTTCCTTAGACTGAGTTTTGACTACACACACATTCATGCTGCATCTTTACCTGTCAAATGATTATGAGCAGATCATCCAAGGTTAACTTCTAATGTGTCCGTGCAGTGAAAGAGGAAAGAATGTTTGAACAAGGAAGTGACAGAGTTTGTGTTTGTGTCAAAGCAGTGATTTGACACTTTCTTATTCTGTGATGAAATGTTGAAGTGGGTGTTGAAAATGATTGCATTTATTTGTCTAATGAACGTGGCACAAAGTGTGAACGGAAGCATTCTGCGATGGATGATTCACCCAAATTACATTTTCTAACCTTTAATGGCAACTATAGATCACCCAGGTTTAAATGTAGATCTTTCTTTTATTCTAATACTGTAAATAGGTATTAAATCAATGTATGTATGAGCTGTAAAGATACAACTACAAACATCTAAACACCAGTAAGATAAGATGCAATTGAATGTATACTGAGGGATATATAAAGAATGCAGATTATCAATAAGGTGCAAACCAAATGTACACAGTATAAACAGGATACCTAACCACCCCCAAAAAATAATTAGTTACAATATTACTCACATCCTTGGATTCATTTTTGTAATCGTGGAGGAAACTAGTTTGGAAGATGGAAATGTTTATATTCAGCAGCTGGACATATCCCATTACTTTATTTTAACAAACAAAATTTATAATTTTTCATAAGTCTGAATTTTGGGACACAATTACCAATTTTTTTGGGAAAAGTAATATAACTAGTAGTGTAACTAATTACTTTTGGCAGGGAGTAATTAGTAAAGTAATAACATTACTTTTAATTAGTAATAAGTAAAAATGGAAATAATCAAGTTTACCTCATAAATTCACTACAAAATTGCAAAATGATATTTTTTGTAGAGAAAGAGACGATCTGAGAATGATTTAACACGGTTTTAAAATCTCAGGAATCACAATGAAACATCTTCTCTTTCAGCCACCAGAGGGCAGCATAAGCAGGAGAGTCAGATGTACACACAAACACACAAAGACACACACACACACTTGTTTGAGCCACCAGAGTGCGGCATTGGGAGACATATTGATGACTGGAAATCAGTATTTTTGTGTGCACGAGCCCAATAAATGTCTGGGAAGCTTTGGTGACGCATATTTCTCTAAACTGAGTTCACTTTTTCAACAGAAGTCAGTGTGAACTAAACTGGATCACTTTCCATTGCTTTCACAGACAGTGAGTTAGTGTGTGTGGAGAATGGTGTTGTGAGCAGAAAATGAACTATTGTGCTGATTGTGTAATGTAAGTGTGAGTGTAGAAAAAGTATTTTAAGTACAGGTAACATAATTACTTGAATGCATGAAACACAAATACACACACACACTCACACACACACACAGGACTGTGGCCTTTTCTTATGTGTTTAAAGGAAATCCGAAATGCTGCGTGTTTCGTTGAATGGCTCCTCTTTGTGTGATGAGGATATTTCTGTCATGACCTTCTGCAACATCAGGAGGTCAGGAGCCGATTGGCCGAGATGACAACGATAGGAGGAAGTGTTTGCACATTGTAACATTTCTCAAAGTCAGAGGAAAGAAGGAAGAAAAACAAATCAAATGATTACAAATGAATAAGTGGAGCCAGAGGACAGGAAGCAGTAGGGGGTTTTTTCTCATTTGTCCATTCAGAAGTTACATTTTCAGAAGATTACACACTCACAAAACATTAAAAACCATCACCAAAAGCAAATATTTCCATCAAATAACACAACATGTGGTCAAACGATTGTATTCTTTCAATCAGTCATTACATGAATCATTCATTTTTGCTGTATGCCTGTGCCAGTTGTTGATACTTTCCATTAAAGTATGGGCTAATAAATGCAAGCGAACCTGCTGCTCATCTGCACATCTTACACTTTTAAGATGCCCTACTGAAATACTGTAAATACAGATACACAGACAATTCCTAGGAACTCTTAATTGTATTCTTGTGTGCAGTTCGTTAACATGTCAGACCTACAGTGAGCCATTCATTAACACAACACAAAACTGCACAGTCCTGTTAATCTATACAATCTTCAGCACTTGGACACATGTTCTCTCTTCTGCATCGCATCTTACGTTGTGCACTTTGGTTACAAATGTTTGGCATACCCTGTCCACCACTGTCTCCAGCTGGCACACAGCAGGAGCCTCAATGGGCTTGATTTCTCAATGTTTCAATGATCTGTTGATTTAAAAAGGATCATCAGCTGTTTCAGTGTAGCTGTTGAGCATTCGAAAAGACACAAACACAAATGGCGTGATCCACAACAGACAGATGTTGTGTTAATTGTGTTTTTGGAACTGGACAAAAGGATGTTAGTATTGTAAAAAGCTGCAGTGTTACATCAGAGGACTGAGTTGCATCAGCAACTCTGCTGCTCTTTTGTGGTTTTTTTCTTTTTGGTCATTACTTTCTATTACTGGAAGCCTAAACTGAGCAGAAGAAAACCCTGTTTACCATAAACAGCAATGAGATCATGAGGCGTGGGAACATAAAATGAGGCTGAAGTTAAATCACTTTATTTTGTGTAGTTCAAAGTCCACCATGATGATTTTCCTTGGAATAACGAAGATTATCTGAAGTTATTTGTTGTAATAACACAAGGTCGGCGACCCTCTTTAGAGGAATTTGATTGGCCGAGGAGACTGAGGGGGAAAGTTAATGTCTGATTAACAAAAAGATGGTCATCCACTCTGTGTGTTTATGCGTATGTGTTTTAACTACAAGGACAGGAAGACAAAGTGAGTGTGGTTGGGAGAGAAAAAGAGAAGCAGGCAGACAGGAAAACACACATGACCTAAAAAGAGGGAGGGAAAGAGGAAGGGTCTATGTTTGTCTGTATGTGTGTGTGTGTGTGTGTGTGTGTGTGTGTACGTGTGTGTGTGTAGGTGTGTGTGT